TTTTGAATCAAGGACATTTCTGCATTAATAATTTGTAGCGGTAATTTCACTTATACGCGTGTACAGGCAGTCCCCGGGTTACATACAAGATAGGGACTGTAGGTTTGTTCTTAAGTTGAATTTGTACTTAAGTCGGAACTGGTGTCCAGACTCAGCCGCTGCTGAAACTGACCAGCGCTGACTACAGGAATCCCAAGTCAGAGTTTCTCTGCCCCGGGGCTTCCTGGAATCAGCCGCTGATCAGTTTCAACAGCAGCTGAATCTGGACGCCTGGGCACCTCGGCACCTACCCAGCAGCGCCCCAGCTGCTCTGTCACAACGCCTGGGGCAGAGCAGCTGGGGTGCTGCCGGGTTGGTCCAGTAGCGCCGAGGAGTGGCGCTGCGGGCCCAACCGGCAGCGCCCCAGCTGCTCTATCACAGGCGTCCATTAGAAAAGTCTGGTCTGCGGGTGGGGGTGGGCGCACTAGCTGCCTCCCCCTCCCCCCCCAGCAGACCATGGAAACGCGCCGCGCCGCGGTCCCGCCGCCCGGTTCCTCCGCGGCTTTGCTCCGCATCTCCCTGGTCTGCTGGGGGGGGGAGGGGCAGTCTGGGTGGTCCCGCTGCCCGTGTCCTCTGGGGCGAGAAAAGCCCCGTTCGTAAGTACGGATCCGACATAAGTCGGATCCGCGTAACTCGGGGACTGCCTGTATACTAGAAACAGAACACACTGCTGACAGTAACAGATTTAACACTTGTTCACAGCTGCACATGGCTTAGCTGGAGGTGTTCATCTCTCTTCCAGAAAAATATGGTTAAGACTTGCTTGGAACAGCTTTTAACCATTAGTTTTTGAACCAGTACTAGTTTGTCTTGGTGTACATTTGCACATAAAAATTGCTTCAGCTGCAATAGAACTTTAAGAACATGTAATTTTTTCTAGTGTAGTCCTGGCCAAAGTTGCCCAGCTAGACACTGCTTCACTACACATTTCTAATAACAGCATTGAGCATGATTTTAAGAGGGAAGAGGCCAGTCTGAAAATAATACTGAAGGACTGTTAAATTAAAATGGTTACTCACCTTTGTAACTGTTGTTCTGCAAGATGTGGTGCTCATGTCTATTCCAATTGAGGTATGCAAGCACTGCGTGCACAACTGCCAGAAGTTTTTACTCTAGCTGCTACCCATTGGTCAGCTGTGGAGCCCTCTGAAGTGTCACCAATAAGACCCACCCACGCATCAGTTCTTTCTTGCCAGTTACTCCATTGGTAGGGAAGGAGGGAGGGATGGAATAGATATAAGCAACACATTTCAAAGAACAGCTACAAAATTGAGTAACTGTTTTTTCTTCTTCAAGTGTTTGCTTATATCTATTCCAATAGAGGTGATTCACAAGCCATACCCAGGAGAAGTCGCAGTCAATGCATAACTGACTCGAGTACCGCAGCCCCAAAACCAGCATCAGGTCTGGATTGATGAACAATAAATGTAGTGTGACGTAGAAGTAGGAACTGAGAGCCATGCACAGCCCTTCAGATTTCCTGGACAGGAACATGGACCAAAAAAAGCAGTTAAGGCAGCCTACACCCATGTGGACACGTGCGAATGCATGCAGAGGATCAGGTTTAGATCCCAAGGGAAACAGAGGTCCCTGGGGGGTAGAGGCCAACAAGAGAGCAGGCTACGCTGGAGACACCACGGGAGAATCGCTTCCACTTCATCAGATGTGAGCCGAGTGGAAGGCTTCCTACTACTGAGAAGGATCTGTCAGCTTGACACGGTTTAGCCATGGAGCCATCATGCTGCCGAGATGGAGAGAGTGCAAGTCTAAGTGGCAGAGGTGACCATGCTCCTGAGTAATGAGGTCCAGGCGCCAGGGAAGTGGAATGGGTGGTCAAACCAACAGGTCCAGGAGGATGAGGTACAAGTGTTGGCATATCCAGGCTAGTGCTTTCAGAATTACATTTGTCCTATTCCTGTGGAGGTTGAGAAGCACCTTGTAGACCAGAGGAAACAGGAAAAGCATACAGCAAGCTGGACTGCCATGGGATCAGGAATGCATCCTCTATGGATCCTGGAATAAGGCCCTGGAACAAGCAGAACTATGGGCATTTCGTACTGAACCAGGTAGCAAGAAGGGGGTTCCCGTGGTACACCATCCTTGGAAAACAGCATGGAGGACATCCAGCCAAAGCAACCATTCGTGAGCCAGGAAGCATCAGCTGAGGTGGTCCACCAGCTGAATTTGAACTCCTAGAGGGTATGATGCTTCCAAGTGAAATGTGTGGACTAAGCACAAGTCCCACAGATAAAGGGATTTGGTACAAACGGGGGAATGACCTGGCTCTGCCCCGTTTGATGCAGTATATTGCTCATCATGACTGCCATGCAACAACTCTGAAGGTCAGGGAGGAAGGCCAGACACATAAAACCGACTGCCTGAAGCTCAAACACCTTGATATAGAGGGAGAACTCCTCCTCCTCTCTGAAGTGAACACCCCAACCTAAATCAGATGCATTCGTGACAAGGGACATTGTGGGCTGTGGGACATGCAAAGGAATATTGGCCAGTACTGACCCGGGATCTAGCCACCAAGGCAGTGCATGAGTGACATGGTGAGGCAGGTCTATACTGTCCCTTCCCGGGGAATAAGTCAATGCCAACCAAGACTGCAGAGGTTGCAGGTGGAGCCTGATGAACAGCACTACGTATGTGCCTGCTGCTATGTGGCCCAGGAGCTTGAGGCACACATAGGCCATGGTGACCAGGAAGTTGGAAAGAGACCTTCATAGCCTGGTCAGAATTGCAAAATGACAATCCGGTATGTACATTCAGGTCCTGGTAGAGTCTAGCAGAGCTCTAAAGAATTTGATTCTCTGTGGTACAAAGGTTGACTTTCTGGGGTTGAGGAGGAGATTCAATCTGTCACAAGAGAGCCTGGTGAGGGTTAACAAGAATGGCTGGACAGAAGCCAGTCATCCAGGAAAGGGTAAACACGAATCCCGCAATGCCGGAGGAGAGCAGCCACCACTGCCATACACTTGGTAAACACCCTGGGTGCCATGGAGAGACCGAAAGGGAGGGTCAAGAACTGGCAGTGGGACTGAACTCTCCCATCACCCATTAACAATTTACACATTCATGCCCCAATTATCTTTTTCATTATAAACTGGAGCTGTTTAGAATTTACTTTTGTTATTATGCACAAAACACATATTCGTTCAATAGTTTAAAATATACCTTGGTTTAGAAGAAACGTAACACACAAATACAGAAGATCAAATCAGATTTCATAAAGGTTAAACAAGACTTGGAAATCCTAATCCAATAAGCATAAAAAAAAGACAAGCAAGATTGCCAGATGTCTATCTGATCTTTTGACAACAGTACTGGAGTTTATGCTAGAATATCTGACTTGTTGGTTTGTAACATTTTATGGTCTATCACCACATATTTAATATGCTCATGTCATCTTCTTAAAGATATAGGAGGGGTAAGTTGGCAACTATTACTTCAAAAAGGGAAGTAGGTTTTCAAAGCAAATGAAACAATATTAATTAACTGATTAGTTTTAAAAGTAACAAATTGTTTCTGAACAAAATATTTTGAGGATTACAAAGAACTTACTTTCAAAGAAAACAACAGCTCATTGATAAAAAAACTGAAAAGTCTATTAAAGCCAAAGAAACAGCAGCTAAAAACATAGAAAACTGAAAAATGGCTTCCATTTACTTTGGCATTCATTTCATTTCTAAACATCCTGTTTAAGTTTTTTCCTCCTTAGATCTTTGTGTTCTCTTGTACTTCGCATTCTTAAAATAAACACCTCTTCAGACCTTGCTAATAAATGCATTCTATTCTTTTCTGTATTACATTAATAAAGCTACAAAAGCATCAAAATTCACTACATTCAGGACTACTGCTTTTCTACACATGTGTGTATGTGTGTGTGTGTGTGGGGGGGGGGTTCTTAAAAATCGAAGGACTAAAGAAATAACCAGTTAACAATTTTATGCAAGATTTTTTAATATCTAATGATTCAGTTGAGGAT